GGGATATTCGAGTTTGCATACGTTGCTCTGCAACGTACACTCTTGCTTCGTGCTTCGTCAAGTGATTCGGCCCGAATTAGTTAGAACTCGATTGATTGTTCGGAATGGTCGTCAATGGGTCCCTTCTCTTTGCTCGTCTATGGCCACACGCACTGCGTGTGTTAACTCTGTCGAGGAGTCGAGTGGATTCCCCTAGGCACAATTTTCGCTCGGTAAAAGAAGTTGCCTCCCCATTTTCCAAATTGCTGATTGCTAGCATTTAAAAAATGTGGATATCCTCTTCTTTTGCCGTCTACCAGCCTAGTGTAGCATATAGCAACCGCGGGAGGCATAATATGTTCGGGCGGAGCACCTGAAATCGTGCTTAGCGGGTCCAAGTTCGATACGAGATAGGATAATTATGCGCGAAAAAGAGTTGGTGAACTTCATTTTTCTCTACTTCCATCAATCGTTTCGTCTTCTTTCCGGTTTGGACTTAATCCATGCTCGTTGTATCGTTGCATTCCTGACCTATTGACTCGAAGCTGACTCTCATAAATAAAATGGGATTTTGTTCGTACCGAAACCGGGAGTGTCATTCAAAGTATATGCATATTAAGTATATACATCGCGCGACTAAATAGAAAAATTTTTATCGTACCGAAATAGTGCGGGAAGCGCTTAGTATCGCGCGTAAAAGTGCGAAAATAGCGATAAAAATATCGCTCGTGAGTGCGGGAGTGCCGTAAAGTATTCGCGCGTCCAAGACTGAAAGGAGGAGGAGGCATCGGGCTCCGGCAGAGCAACCTTCTGGTAATTTATTTATTTGTTTATTTATTTATTTGTAATTGTATATTAAATATTAAATATATTTATTATAATTTAAATTAAACAATTAATCGCGTAATTTGATTTTTTATTTATATAATTTAAATAAGAGAGAGAATTTTGAAGAAAAAAATTTTTATAATAATCTATAATCTTGTAAAGATATAAGCTTTTATAAATTAGAGTTATAAATTATTAGTAATGTTTTTTTTTTCTAAAATTTATAGAATTATTTTATTAATCTGCTATTATTATATCGAATGTAAAATTCAATACATGTAGTAACTTTTGAAATATTAATTATTTGGATATTATTACAATTTAAATCTTCTATTTGTTATAGATCAACCTAACAATCATGATGATCTGAGAGGAGGCGCAGGCCTAGGAAAGGCATCCTACATCGGCGGAACAACCTGATGGTAAGTACTATTTATATTATTTATTTATATTAATTATTATATCGCATACTCATACAATTTGAGTCATTTATTTGAATGATGAAACAAGAAAGATTCAAAGAATAAAGGTTTGTAAATAAATTTATTATTGTATGTAAATAATCCTATAAAACTTTGTATTTAAAAAAAGATTTTTCAGAATTTAAAAAATTATTGCATAATTATTTATTTGTTTATTATTGCACACATTGGATATAAAATTCGGTACGTACAATAATAATTAAATATAATGAAAGATTAATTATTTTAAGAGCTGCTAATTATATGAATTTTATATTTATATGTTACAGACAACGTAGCTTCAATATTGACAACTCCGCTGTTGCGCATCAGTGTCGGTGAGTGAAAAACTTTTATTTAATTGTAAGGTAACGGATTTGTGTAGAGCTTGTAGATGTAGATTGTAGATTGTAGATTGTAGATCCGTTACTTTAAAATGGATGGGCTAGAACAAATTAAATCATATAAATTTTTAAAGTTTTTTTTAATATACATTAAAGCTTATTAAAAATACAAAATTAAAATGTTAATTAAAGGAAAATTTCATTTTTTTAATTAATTTTACATTATAATCAATTATTTATTTTATTTAAAATAAATAATATACATAAATACAAAACATAAAGAACATACTAGTAATTTTATTTTTTAATACTATATAATAATTTACTTTTATAATGCATACTGACATTATTTTAATTTTTTATAGTCCATCATTTTTATGTAGTGTAACATGTTAAAAAACTTTGCTTTAATTGATATAAATCTAAGTAAGTTATCAATCTATTGAGTCATATGTAATGTTTAAAAAGACTAATGAATGATACTATAGAGTGAAAATATAGTAGAAAATGTATAAATAATATGGAATTAATTTATTTTATCGTAAATCTTTATTATAAATTTTTTATTATAAATAATATTATATATTGTAAAAATTGCAATCATTTAATTTTGATTAACTTAATACTATATAGCATTATATTAATTAAAGCAAAGTTATATTAGAGATGATAACAAACGGTTATAATATTACGATTGTAAATGAGCGTAAAATTATGCTCATGTACCGGTGAAAATAAATAGCCGGCAACGGAAGGAATTTTTTTCTCTCATTGATCTATGATACAGATCAAAGCTACTTTATCCTTGGCTAAAAATAATCAAATGCCTGGATATTCGAAAAGTAAGTTAATCTAAAAAGTGCAATGGCACATAATAAACGCGTGAATTAAACGGATAAAATAAACGGGTACGCATAAAATAAATAAAAACATATAAAAATAAACTCAGAAACTCACAAAAAAATAAAGAAATACTGCGTTCGTGTAATAAAATCCTAATTAGGGCATATTCCCCAAATCTAAAAAAATCGCATATTTCCTCTGGTTTAATTTGCAAAGCAATTAGGGATAAAATCATTGAAACTATTAGGATCGTTAAAATTGTTAGGATTCCTTAGTAGGATTGTTAGGATCATTAAGGTTGTTATGATCGTTAGGATTGTTAAGATCACTAGGGTTGTTAGGATCACCAAAATTGTTTAGGATGATTAGGATTATTAAGATTGCTAGATATAATATTTTATATAGTAGGATTATTTATTTATTATAACTTTATTATATTATAATTTATTATACTTAATTTTAATATACTATAAGGCTTTTCTTATAGAATATTGAAATTAAAAGTTATAATGTAAGATCAAAAAATTATATATCATTTTTACAATCTGTACAATCAAGATTAATGTATAATGTTCGACATTATTCTTGATTTTTAAAAATATTTACATTGCATATATAACGCGAATTATATGTAATGTGAACGTTTAATATAATAATTATATTATATAAGTTACGTTCTTTTTTACATTATATAAATTATATTGTTAATTATGCTATATTGTAAATTGTTTTTATAAAAATTTTACATAATGTTAAATTCAGATGTAAATGTTCTTAATATCTAATAATTTCGATAATATTAAATAAAACTAAATTATATTAGAATACAAATAATTTCTTCGATTTTAAAAACTTTTAGTTTATTTAAATTGATAAAATTTCATCATTATACAATTAATTTAAATAATGTCGGAATGCATTTTTATTATTTTTTGAAACATTTTTGCAAATTACTCGCAACGTTAAATATATCGAATTATTTGATATTGATAACATCAATTTATATTGTGAATCTAAATTATAATTTATTATAATTTATATATTGCACATTACAATAAATATATATATATATATGGGTCATTCCCCACGTCAGCTCCTCCCGCCAACCGCTCAAAATTGTATTGAAGTAAATTTAACTTCTAAGGTACCAAAATTTAGCTTGAAACATCTAGTTTTTTACGCCGTCTGGCGATTTTGAAAAATGTCAAATAATGACGGCGTAAAAATCTTGATGACCTTGGTTTTGTCAGTTAAATAAAATATGGTACCTATTTTCGTATGCAAATTTTTATTATTTTCTTACAGATAAAGTACAAAGGTCATTTTTAATGTAATTTGATCCGCTGAATCCAAATCTGAAGTCAGAAAACCAAAATTTAATTTTTTTTCATTGTTTTATTTATTTGACATTTTTTTAAATCGCCAGACGACATAAAAAACTAGATGTTTCAAGTTAAATTTTGGTACCCATATATGGGTACCAAAATTTAATTTGAAACATCGAGTTTGCGATTTTGAAAAAAGTCAAATAAATAAAAAAAAAATAAATTTTGTTTTTCTGACTTCAGATTTGGATTCAGCGGATCAAATTACACTAAAAATGACTTTTGTGCTTAACAAGCACTTTCTCAAAAAAATTCTTATTTTATTTATTCTTTGGTTAATAAATAAAAATATATGTTTTGCCAAATAAATTTCATTCAATTTCATTGAAACATTAATTACAGATGCGACGCGTTTAATCCACGAAATATCGGATACGAAAAAAAAATCAATTTTTATAATTTCGATATTTATCACGCTAATATACAATATAATAAAATATATACTGACCTCTGCAATTGCGCGTCAGTCGTCATAAAGAGCACCGTCACTACCGCAAAAAGGAGAAACATATTTCAAAATTTATTTACTACTGAGTCTTGATTCATGAAAATTTGAGTTTCTTTCGAAATTTATAACCGGATACACAGAAAAATAAAGTGTTGTCTCTTACTAACATTTCTCTTAACATTGTATCAACATTCGATAGCGTTACATACATGCGTTACATACATGATTGCGCGTGCCCCTGTTGAATGCTTGAACATGTAGACAACGCGCGAAATATTCGAAAAATTTTAATAGGTTTCCATCGATCAATTTAATTTAAATATTTCATATTTTTCATAACTGTGTATTCTAAATTAAGAATGTTTATTTACATAAATTCATGATTAATAATAAGAAACCAATTGTTTAAAAAAAAAATACATTGATTATATCGTCTAAACAGACAATCATGCATCATTAATTTTAAAATAGGTAATTTGCAAAAAAATAGCATTTAATTAATCGGCATTTTTTACATAACTATGTGCGAAAAAATTATACTTATATAATTATAAATCACATTATTTGATACATTTTTGAGGTTTCTAAGGAAAAATATAATATACATAATCTTGAAATATGTATTTGAATATTCATTAATTTCAATTACATTATAAGAATAAAGTTATAATAAGGTAACTTATAATAAAAAGAGAAAATGATTTTTGTGACATTACAATTAAAATCGAAAAATTTATTGCTCATCGCATTGCACGAATAACTTTCCATTTAGAATTTATCGGTGTTTAATGAATGCAACCACATTTACATAGGTTTTAGATTTCCGAAAGTCTAAATGTGGTCACGAGGTAAATCGATTTTTTTTAAATCACTATTTATTATATCGATATATTTCGTGCACACAATACAATGTATGAACTTTGGATTTCCGCGTCGATCGACACAATCACCACGAGAAAGTAGAATATGTTTTCGAAATTTCTGACAAATTTCTTTCTGTACGTTGTGACTGGACATACAAAAAATAAATTGTATTCGACTATTAGAGCTCTCGTTTATCTAAATTTGGCGACTGCTATACAATCGCACGAATTCGAAACACATACGTTCTACCGATCAAACAAATTTAAAATTATTTTATTTAATATTATAATACAATATAATTATTTTATTTAATATTATGTTTTATAATTAAAACAAATTGTATTAAGATAAATTTTTAAATGTGTGCGTGAATAAGAATGATAATGAAGGAGCAATCAGCGTTTTGAAAGAATAGATTGATTATATCGACTAGACGGCCATGCAACAATGAACTTAACAAATGATACTGCTCGCAAAAATTCGCATTCTAATTAACAATAAGCTCATATCAGCTGCTTTCACGATAAAGTATTGCTTTTAAAAATTAAAACACAATTATGTACGTATAGCGCAAAAATTCACATTGATGACATGCAAACTTTGCCGGTTGTCGATTAAAAAAGATTAAATTTCTTTCTTATCGAAAACTAAACAAACAATTAGAAAAAAAGATGATAAAGTATACAATAAAATGTGACAATGAAAGATTTTCTATACATTTTGATGAACTTTTCGCCAAAGCAAATCCCACTCGATCTCTCTCCATATCAAACTCGGTATAGTAACGACCAATAAATGGCATGCCCAGAACCCATTTTATTTCATTGTGATATTTTAGATAATGTTTCGAGAAGACGATTATACATATACTTTCATTATTTGGATGCTGAGCAATATTAAATACACAATATTAACTTCTCTTATGCATATTTAAATAATTTAAATAATAATTTGGCTATAGCACTCACCCGAATGATGTAATCCTTACCGGTAAGATCGAACGCCTTACCACCCATAATAAACCTGATTGTAGGCAATTGGAAAATTTTATTGCAGTCCACCTTAAAATAAAACATAATATCAAATTAGTAAATAATAATATTTAATAAATATATCATCGGAAACAAGGATTAATGTCGTTGTTTCGACATAGAAGTTTATGTTTCATTTGAACTTATCTAATATATATTCTTACTTTATCGCTATTATTAACTTTTTATAATTTTTTAAAGAAATGCTTCGTGCTTCGTGAAAGGTATGATTACTTGAAAGATATCGTTTACTTACTATTCTACTATCATCAACTCCAATAAATGTATTAATCTTTGCGATATCCAATTTTGGTCCTAATATTAGCGAAGAGCCTGTATCAACGATAGCTTGGCAACTTTCCTCGCACAGATAGTCAAATTTCATTTCGATCCTACAAAGCGATGACATTGACAATTTGTTGAAACACGATTAATATAATTTGAAAGAAAAATAACGTACCTATCAATGGTAATTTGCCAGTATCCTTTGCGAGTAACAGGAATATATGTGAAATCCCCTTCGTAATAAGCGGGATCGGAGCCACCCAATGTCAATTCACCACCTAAATCGGCTGAAGTGTCTCTGCAAATTATACATATTTTTTATATCGTAATATGTGTGTGAAAATTAAAATTAAATTTTATTTAATATGCAAATAGAAATATTATTTTAATTTATAGCATTATAATACTATATATAAATAATAAATTTAATTTATGTTACTATTGAAATAGCTATAAAATAAATATAAATATATGTAGAAATCGAACTGTATATTTATTAAAAACTCTTGCTTATAGATATATGTTGTTCATAAGTAGAGAAGATATGTACCTATTTAGATAAAAACTGAAAATGTGTGGTGATACTAGATCTTGTTCAATAATGTTGTCGAAAACAGACATTATTCGACTGGCAGATATGTTGGAATAACATCCAACCCCAAGATACCATCGTATGGTCTAGAAAAATTAGGATATATTCTTAACATATTAGTTACTTCCATAAATATTTGATTCTGAACATTGAGATTGGCAACCTATAATAAAATTGATATTAAATTAATATATCGTCATCATTGCAAGAAAAAAACAATATGATTGTTTAAGAAAGGTTTAAATTACAATTATAGTTGTAACTATTAAATTGTTTGTTTAATGATGACTTACATTCACTTTATCGGCAGCTAAGTATCCTTCTACACCGCAAGAGCCATATTGAAAACGTGAAAATCTTTTTACTGTATTATCGTATGTCTCGGATCTTGCACTATCATATAGATTATGTCCTGCTACGAAGCATATTGAGTACAATTAAAAATTAACAATACTAATTTGCAATTTATAATTACAATTTTTTCTTAAAAATAACTACGCGTTATTTTTACATCAATTGATTCTTCACATTAATTTGTGCAGAAAAGTATGGATATAAGATAATCCAAAATGAATATTTTACTAGATATTTTACGGCTTAATTAAGGTAAGATTTTACGAGACTTTAGAAATTATTTCAAGCTTCAAAACTCGAAAAGTACTCGAAGAAAATATACTTTATTATAGTGTTTTGGAAAGTCCTCGAGGTAAGCTACCAGAATGTAATGAAAAATGGGGGTTTTTGTTTCAGAATTTGACCTCCAAAAGACTACCCAAGATCAAATAATTGTCACCATCTTAGATGCTTTTCATTCATACAACTTCTTTCTTTACTATTTCTTTGAACATGTAAAAATAACGGAATTATTTGTGGTGTAAAAGTTAAATTAAACACTATGTATATATAAACAAATTACTTACAACAAACAGGAATTGTGCAATTTTTGGAGAATATCCAAAGAAATGGGGAACCAGTATCAAATACAACTTTAAATTCTTGCTGCGGAGTTCCAATTTTAATAATGCCATAGTAATTTATGTTTTTGTAATTGGTCAAATTTCCGGAAGGAAGATCGTCACTTAACAAAAAATCTTCTTCCAACTTGTCAACTTTTTCCAAAGATTGAATGTAATCCATCTTGTACAATGGAATCCTTGAAATAACATATAGAACATTTTATGACATATATATATATATATATATATATATATATATATATATACTTATAAATAATATAAAATGAATATTCACATTCGATATGACTAACAGATATTCTCAGAACATATATAAGTTATGAAAGTCTATACAATTTAAATGTTTCAGAAATCAACTACATAACTTACACATTTACAATATAAGTACATTACGCATTTATATATAACTATATCGGAACGATTTATTAACTCGATGATCTTTCTGAATTATTTAACTCTCATGTATCTCGAAAATAATATTTAATCTGTAATCCAATCTTTTAAATAAAATCATTATTTAAATAATCATTATAATTCCGTTAAAATTTTATAAATAATTCAAGAACATGTAGCTCTATCAATTATTAAAACTATAATACAGAAAATATAAACAAATAATACAAAGCAACTCATTATACCTACAGTTGATCTGCTATCGCGTGAAAAAGTTGTTTACAATTAGATGTTTTGATGACTTCCAATCATGATTTATGTTAACGGTCATCGTTTAAATAGGAATAAAGGCAAGATAAAAGCGTACGTTACGAAAGGACAATGAGCACTTTCTCAAAAATATTCTTATTTTATTTACTCCTTGACTAATAAATAAAAATATATGTTTCGACAAAAAAAAGTTTATCCAATTTGTATAGAAGAATTAATTGCATTTGCACAAGTCACGCGTTTAGTAAAAGAAATGGGATACAAGAAAAAATCAATCTTTATAATTTCGATATTTATCATGCCAATATGCAATAAAATAAAATATATACTGACCTGTGTAATTGCGCGTCAGACGTCATAAAGAGCACCGTCACTATCGCAAGAAAACGAAACATAATTCAAAATTTATTTACTACTAAAGTCTTGATTCGCGAAAATTTGATGAGTTTCTTTCGAAATTTATAACCGGATACACAGAAAAATAAAGTGTTGTCTCTTACTAACATTCCTCATAACACTGTATTAATATTCGATAGCGTTACATACACATGATCGCGCGTGCCCCTGTTGAATGCTTGAACATGTAGAGAACGCGCGAAACATTCGGAAAATCTTAACAGATTTTCATCGATCAATTTAATTTAAATATTTCATATTTTTAATAATCGTGTATTCTAAATTAAGAACGTTTAATTACATAAATTTATGATTAATAATATGAAACCAATTGTTTCAAGAAAGAATACATTGTTTATATCGACTAAACAGACAATCATGCATCATTAATTTTAAAATAAGTAATTTGCAAAAAATAGCATTTAATTAATCGGCATTTTTTACATAACTCTGTGCGAAAAAATAATACTTATAAATAATACTTATGTAATTATAAATGACATTATTTGATACTTTCTTGAGGTTTCTAAGAAAAAATATAATATACATAATCTTGAAATATGTATTTGAATATTCATTAATTTCAATTACATTATAAGAATAAAGTTATAATAAGGTAACATAATAAAAAGAGAAAATGATTTTTGTAACATTATCATAAAATCGAAAACTTTTATTGCTCATCGCATTGCACGAATAATCTTCCATTTAGAATTTATCGGTGTTTAATGAATGCAATCACATTTACATAAGTTTAGATTTCCGAAAGTCGAAATATGGTCACGAGGTAAATCGATTTTTTAAAAATCACTATTTATTATATCGATATGTTTCGTGCACACAGTACAATGTATGAACTTAGCTTTGGATTTCCGCATCGATCGACACCACAGTCACCACGAGAAAGTGGAATATGTTTTCGAAATTTCTGACAAATTTCTTTCTGTACGTTGTGACTGGACATACAAAAAATAAATTGTATTCGACTATTAGGGCCTATCCAGACAAACTTGCACAGGTGCATATGCATAACATAAGACCATATGGACCAATGAGCATCGAGTATTATGTTATGTAAGTCAATATAGCGATTTAATACTCGATGCTCATTGGTCCATATGGTCTTATGTAATGCATATGCACCTATGCAAGTTTGTTTGGATAAGCCCTTAGAGCTCTCGTTTATCTAAATTTGGCTATACAATCGCACGAATTCGAAACACATGCGTCCTACCGATCAATCAAATTTAAAATTATTTTATTTAATATTATGTTTTATAATTAAAACAAATTGTAATAAGATAAATTTTTAATTGTGCGCGTGATTAAGAATGATAATGAAGACGCAATCGGCGTTTTAAAAGAATAGATTGATTATATCGACTAGACGGCAATGCGACAATGAACTTAACAAATGATACTGCTCGCAAAAATTCGCATTCTAATTAGCAATAAGTTCATATCAGCTACATTCACGATAAAGTTTTGCTTTTAAAAATTAAAACACAATTATGTACATATAGCGCAAAAATTCACATTGATGACATGCAAACTTTGCCGGTTGTCGATTAAAAAAGATTAATTTCTAAAATTCTAAAATTAATTTCTAAAATTAATTTCATTCTTATTGAAAACTAAACTAACTAGAAAACTAATTACAAAAATTATTATAAAGTATACAATAAAATGTGACAACGAAAGGCTTTCTATACATTTGGATGAACTTTTCGCCAAAGCAAATCCCACTCGGTCTTTCTCCATATCAAACTCGGTGTAGTAACGGCCAATAAATGGCATGCCCAGTATCCATTTTATTTCACTGTCATATGAGTCGTATGTGGAGAAAATGGATATACATATACTTTCATCATCTGGATGCTGAGCAGTATTAAATACACGATATAAACTTCTCTTATACATATTTAAATAATTTAAATAATAATTTGCCTATAGCACTCACCCGAATGATGTAATCCTTACCGGTAAGATCGAACGCCTTACCGCCCATAATAAACCTGATTATAGGCAATTGGAAAATTTGATTGCAGTCCACCTTTAAATAAAACATAATATCAAATTAGTAATTAATAATATTTAATAAATATATCATCGGAAACAAGGATTAATGTCGTTTTTTCGAGATAGAAGTTTATGTTTCATTTGAACTTATCTAATATTTATTCTTATTTTATCGCTAATATTAACTTTTTATAATTTTTAATGAAATGTCGTGCTTCATGAAAGGTATTACTTGAAAGATATCATTTACTTACCCTACTACTTTCATCAACTTCAATAAATGTATTAATCTTTGCGATATCCAATTGTGGTCCTAATATTAGCGAAGTGCCTGTATCAACGATAGCTTGGCAACTTTCCTCACACAAATAGTCAAATTTCATTTTGATCCTACAAAGCGATGACGTTGACAATTTGTTGAAACACGATTAATGTAATTTAAAAATATAACGTACCTATCAATTATAATTTGCCAGTATCCTTTGCGAGTAACAGGAATATATGTGAAATCCCCTTCGTAATAAGCGGGATCGGAGCCACCCAATGTCAATTCACCACCTAAATCGGCTGAAGTGTCTCTGCAAATTATACATATTTTTTATATCGTAATATGTGTATGAAAATTAAAATTAAATTTTATTTAATATGCAAATATAAATATTATTTTAATTTATAGCATTATAATACTATATATAAATAATAAATTTAATTTATGTTACTATTGAAACAGCTATAAAATAAATATAAATATATGTAGAAATCGAACTGTATATTTATCAAAAACTCTTGTTTATATGTTGTTCATAAGTAGAGAAAATATGTACCTATTTAGATAAAAACTGAAAATGTGTGGTGATACTAGATCTTGTTCAATAATGTTGTCGAAAACAGACATTATTCGACTGGCAGATATGTTGGAATAACTCAGGCCCAAGATACCATCGTATGGTCTAGAAAAATTAGGATATATTCTTAACATATTAGTTACTTCCATAAATATTTGATTCTGAACATTGAGATTGGCAACCTATAATAAAATTGATATTAAATTAATATATCGTCATCATTGCAAGAAAAAAACAATATGATTGTTTAAGAAAGGTTTAAATTACAATTATAGTTGTAACTATTAAATTGTTTGTTTAATGATGACTTACATTCACTTTATCGGCAGCTAAGTATCCTTCTACACCGCAAGAGCCATATTGAAAACGTGAAAATCTTTTTACTGTATTATCGTATGTCTCGGATCTTGCACTATCATATAGATTATGTCCTGCTACGAAGCATATTGAGTACAATTGAAAATTAACAATACTAATTTGCAATTAACAATTACAATTTTTTCTTAAAAATAACTACGCTTTATTTTTACACCAATTGATTCTTCACATTAATTTGTGCAGAAAAGTATGGATATAAAATAATCGAAAATGAATATTTTACTGGATATTTTACGGCTTAATTAAGGTAAGATTTTACGAAACTTTAGAAATTACTTCAAGCTTCAAAACTCGAAAAGTACTCGAAGAAAAGACACTTTATTATAGTGTTTTGGAAAGTCTTCGAGGTAAGCTACAGAATGTAATGAAAAATGGGGGTTTTTGTTTCAGAATTTGACCTTCAAAAGACTACTCAAGATCAAATAATTGTCAGGTGCCCTTTTCATTCATACAACTTCTTTCTTTACTATTTCTTTGAACATGTAAAAATAACGGAGTTATTTGTGGTGTAAAAGTTAAATTAAATACTCTGTATATATAAACAAATTACTTACAACAAACAGAAATTTTTCAATTTTTGGAGAATATCCAACAAAATGGGGAACCAGTATCAAATACAACTTTAAATTCTTGCTGCGGAGTTCCAATTTTAATAATGCCATAGTAATTTACGTTTTTGTAATTGGTCAAATTTCCGGAAGGAAGATCGTCACTTAACGAAAAATCTTCTACCAACTTGTCAACTTTTTCCAAAGATTGAATGTAATCCATCTTGTACAATGGAATCCTTGAAATAACATATAGAACATTATGTGACATAAATATAAATATATATATTATATATATATTTAATAATGTATATATATATACGTATATACATATATATATTTTTTATAATGTGAATATTCATTTTATATTATTTGTAAGTATATATATATATATATATATATATACAGGGTGAGGCATCTAAAACAGGCCACCTGAATAACTCCGTTGGTAAGCCGAATACAAAAAAATTGTTCAGACAAAAGTTGTATGGTTTCAAGGGGGACATATGATGGTGTCATTAGTTTAATCTTGAAGAGCCACCCGAAGGTCACGTGAAGGTCAGCTCCAACTTTTTAAATGGGACATCTTATATGATTTTGCATATTCTTGTAGCTCATCTCAAGAGCTTTCCAAAACACTACAATTATGTTAGTTTTCATTGAGTACTTTCCAAGTTATGAGGCTTGAAATCATTTTTTAATTTTACATAAACCGTAAAATATCTAGTAAACCATTCATTTTTCGATTATCTTACCTTGATACTTTTATGTACAAAATAATGAGAGGAATCAATTGGTGTAAAGAAAACACATAGTTGTTTCTAAGAAAAAATATGGAATTTGCAATTAACAATTCCATATTTTTTGTTAAAAACAACTGTTTTCTTTACACCGATTGATTCCTCTCATTATTTTGTACATAAAAGTATTAAGGTAAAATAATCGAAAAATGAATATTTTACAAGATATTTTACGGTTTATGTAAAATTAAAAAATGATTTCAAGCCTCATAACTTGGAAAGTACTCAATGAAAACTAACATAATTGTAGTGTTTTGGAAAGCTCTTGAGATGAGCTACAAGAATATGCAAAATCATATAAGATGTCCCATTTAAAAAGTTGGAGCTGACCTTCACGTGACCTTCGGGTGGCTCTTCAAGATTAAACTAATGACACCATCATATGTCCCCCTTGAAACCATACAACTTTTGTCTGAACAATTTTTTTGTATTCGGCTTACCAACGGAGTTATTCAGGTGGCCTGTTTTAGATGCCTCACCCTGTATATATATTTACAAATAATATAAAATGAATACTTACATTTGATATGACTAAAAGATATTCTCAGAACATATATAAATTATAAAAGTCAATACAAATTTAAACGTTTCAGAAATCAATTACATAATTTACATATTTACAATATAAGTACATTACGCATTTAGATATAACTATATCGGAACGATTTATTAACATGACGATCTTTCTGAATTATTTGACCCTCATATATCTCGAAAATAATATTTAATCTGTAATCCAGTCTTTTAATTAAAATCATTATAACGGACATTGCTTTGTAATTAACGAAAATTTTGCGTGCAATTTTATGCGTTACAATTTTATAAATAATTCAAAAACAAGTAACTGTATCAGTTATTAACACTAGAATACAGAAAATATCACGTAAGCAAATAATACAAAGCAACTCATTATAACTACAGTTGATCTGCTATCGCGTGAAAAAGTAGTTTACAATTAGATGTTTTCATGACTTTCATGACTTATGTTAACGGTTATTGTTTAAATAGGAATAAAGGCAAGATAAAAGCCAACGTTACGAAAGAACAATGAGCACTTTCTCAAAAATATTCTTATTTTATTTACTCCTTGACTAATAAATAAAAATATATGTTTCGACAAAAGAAAGTTTATCCAATTCGTATAGAAGAAATAATTGCATTTGCACAAGTCACGCGTTTAATAAAAGAAATGGGATGCAAGAAAAAAATCAATCTTTATAATTTCGATATTTATCATACCAATATACAATAAAATAAAATATATACTGACCTGTGCAATTGCGCGTTAGTCGTCATAAAGAGCACCGTCACTACCGCAGGAATGCGAAACATATTTCAAAATTTATTTACTGCTGAAGTCTTGATTCGCGAAAGTTTGACGAGTTTCTTTCGAAATTTATAACCTGATACACAGAAAAATAAAGTGTTGTCGCTTACTAACTCCTCTTAACACTGTATTCAATAGCGTTATATACATATATGATCGCACATGCCTCTCTTGAATGCTTGAACAGGGAGAAAACGCGCGAAACATTCGAAAAATTCTGATTTCCATCAATCAATTTAATTTAAATATATCACATTTTTCATGATCGTGTATTCTAAATTAAGAACGTTTATTTACATAAATTCATGATTAATAGTTCTTTCAGTAGTAGTAAAAACAGTTCTTTCGAAAAAATACATTGTTTATATCGACTAAACAGTCAATCATACGTCGTTAATTTTACAATAAGTAATTTGCAAAAAGTAGCATTTAATTAATCGGCATTTTTTATATAGTTCTGCGCGAAAAAATTATATTTATATAATTTTAAATCACTTTATTTGATAAATTCTAGAGGTGTCTAAAGAAAAAAGAAAATATACATAATCGTGAAATATGTATTTAAATATTTATTAGTTTCATAATTTTTTAGAAAAAGAACTTGTTGTGTTAAATTAGGGATAATATTAATACGAATATTTTTACTCAAGATACTATACAAAATTTAAAAATCCATATATTTCTTACTTCTGCTATATATATATATATATATATATATATATATATATATATATATATTTCTACTATACATTTCTTTCGTCATATATTGTGTGAATTTGAAAAAAATACAACAATACGAAATTTTGTGGAAGAAGTAATAAATCTCTAATAAAGAATCGTATTTTTTATTAAAAATGTCTGATTAATTTATCAAAATAAGATAATTTTCAATAACAAGAAACATTGATGATAATTACATTATAAGAATATAGTTATAAGATAAGATAACTTATAATAAAAAGAGAAAATGATTTTTGTAACATTATCATAAAATCGAGAACTTTTATTGCTCATCGCACTGCACGAATAACCAATTCCATTTAGGATTCATCGGTGTTTATCAATGCAATTACATTTACATAGGTTTTAGATTTCCGAAAATCGAATGTGGTCACGAGGTGGATTGATTTTTAAAAAAATGAACATTTATTATATCGATATGTATCGTGCACATACAATACAATGTATGAATTTAGCTTTGGATTTCCACATCTATCAACACCACAGTCACCACGAGAAAGCGTGTTTTCGAAATTTTTGATAAATTGCTTCCTGTACGTTGCGACATACAAAAAATAAATTGTATTCGACTATTAGAGCTCTCGTTTACCTACATTTGACGACTGCTATAGAATCGCGCGCACACAAAATACATCCGTCCTATCGATCAATCAAATTTAAAAATATTTTATTTAATATTTTGTTTCATAATTAAAACAAATTGTATTAAAATAAATTATTAAATGTGCGCGTGATTAAGAATGATAATGAAGGAGCAATCAGCGTTTCGAAAAAATAGCTTGATTATGTCGACTAAACAGCTATGCATCAATAAACTTAGCAAATGACACTGCTCGTAAAAATTCTAATTAACAATATGTTCATATCAACTACTTTCACGATGAAGTATTGCTTTTAAAAATTAAAACACATTTATGTGTTTTAATTTTTAAAAGCAATACTTCATCGTGAAAGTGCATATAGCGTGTGCATATAGCGCAAAAATTCACATTGATGACATGCAAACTTTGCCGGTTGTCGATTAAAACAAATTAAATTTCTTTCTTCTCGAAAACTAAACAAATAATTTAAAAAAAATGATGATAAAATATACAATAAAATGTGACAATGAAAGATTTTCTATACATTTTGATGAACTTTTCGCCAAAGCAAATCCCACTCTGTCTCCCTCCATATCAAACTCGGTATAGTAACGACCAATAAATGGCATGCCCAGAACCCATTTTATTTCATTGTCATATGTTAGGTGATGTTTCGCGAAGACGGTTACACATATACTTTCATTATTTGGATGCTGAGCAATATTAAATACACAATATTAACTTCTCTTATACATATTTAAATAATTTAAATAATAATTTGCTTATAGCACTCACCCGAATGATGTAATCATTACCGGTAAGATCGAACGCCTTACCACCCATAATAAACCTGATTGTAGGCAATTGGAAAATTTTATTGCAGTCCACCTTTAAATAAAACATAATATCAAGTTAGTAATTAATAATATTTAATAAATATATCATTAGAAACAAGAATTAATGTCGTTGTGTCGAAATAGAAGTTTATGTTTCATTTGAACTTACCTAATATTTATTCTTCTTTTATCGCTATTCTTAACTTTTTATAATTTTTTATCAAATGTTTCGTGCTTTGTGAAAGGTACGATTACTTGAAAAATATCGTTTACTTACTCTTTTACGTTTATCACCTCCAATAAATGTATTAATCTTTGCGATATCCAATTTTGGTCCTAATATTAACGAAGAGCCTGTATCAACGATAGCTTGGCAGCTTTCCTCGCACAGATTATCAGATTTTATTTTGATCCTACAAAACGATGATGTTGACAATTTGTTGAAACACGATTAATGTAATTTAAAAAAATAACGTACCTATCAATGCTAATTTGCCAGTATTCTTTGTGAGTAACAGGAATATATGTGAAATCCCCTTCGTAATAAGCAGGATCGGAACCACCCAATATCAATTCACCACCTAAATCGGCTGAAGTGTCTCTGCAAATTATACATATTTTTTATATCGTAATATATGTATGAAAATTAAAATTAAATTTTATTTAATATGCAAATATAAATATTACTTTAATTTAAAAAAATATTATGCTATATATAAATAATAAATTTAATTGATGTTAATATTAAAATAACTATAAAATAAATATAAATATTTATACAAATAGAACTGTTATATTTATTAAAAAATTGTGTTTATAGATATATGTTCATAAGTAGGGAAGATATGCACCTGTTTAGATAAAAACTGAAAATGCGTGATGACACTAGACTTTGATTAATTATGTTGTCGAAGACAGGCGTTATTCTATCAGACGACATATTGGAATAGCTCAGACCCAAGACACCATCGTATGGTTTAGAAAAATTTGAATTCATTCTTAACACATTAGTTACTTCTAGAAATATTTGATTCTGAACATTGAGATTGGCCACCTATAAAATTATATAAAACCTATATAAAATTGATATTGAAATAACATATCATTGTTATTGAACGAAAAAACAATATGATTGTTTAAGAAAGGTTTAAATTACAATTATAGTTATAACTGAATTAGATTGTTTGCTTAATGATGACTTACATTCACTTTATCAGCAGCTAAGTATCCTTCTACATCGTAAGAGCCATATTCAAAACGAAGAAGACGATTATTTCCTATATTATTATATGTCTCGGATCTTGCACTATCGTATTGATTATGTCCTGCTATAAAGCATATTCAGTAATATCAAAAATTAGCAATAATAATTTGCAATTAACAATTACATGTTTTTTCTTAAAAATAACTATGTGCATTTTTTACATCAATTGATTCCTCACATTATTTTGTGTAAAAGTATCGAGATAAGGTAGTCGAAAAATAAATATTTTACTAGATATTTTACATTTAATTAAAGTAAGATTTTACGGTAAAATTAAGAAATTATTTCAAGTCTCATAACTCGAAAAATACTCAATGAAAAAATACTTTTTTACAGTGTTTTGAAAAGCTCTCAAGATAAGCTACAAGAATGTGTAATAAAAAATGGGGGTTTTCGTTTCAGAATTTGACCTTCAAAAAATTATATCCAAGATCAAATAATTGTATATATATATATATATATATATATATATATATATATATATATAATTAAATTACTTACAATAAATAGGGAATGTGCACTTTTTGGACAAAACCCAAAGATCTGCGGAACCAGTATCAAACATCACTTTAAATTCTTGCTGCGGTGTTCCAATTCTAATAATGCCATAATAAATTATGTTTTTGTAATTGGTCAAATTTTCTGAAGGAAAATCGTCACTTAACAAAAAAGTTTCTTCCAACTTGGTGTCAACTGCTTCCAAAGATTGTCGAATGTAATCCATCTTGTACAATGGAATCCTTGAAATAACATAAAGAACATTTTGTAATATGAATATATATACTTATAAAAAATATAAAATAAATGTTCTAATTTGATATGACTAACAGATATTCTAAGAAATATAAATTATAAAAGTCTATACAAATGCAATCGTCCCAGAAATCAACTATATAACTTACACATTTATAATATAAATACATTACGCATTTAGATGTAATTATATCAGAACGGTTTATTAACATGATGATCTTTTTAAATTATTTGATCCTCATATATCTCAAAAGTGATATTTAATCTGTAATCCAGTCTTTTAACCCTTTCATATCTCCGGAACATATAAGTATGTCCCATCTACGAAAAAATCATAACTTTGAACAAATAATCTTATCAACTTTTACCTTGGCTTGTTTTAAAGAAGAAGATTCAAGTTACATGTAAAAAAAATCGTGCACTTTGAAATATAATGTTTACAATAAAATTCTTAAACTTTGCAAAAAATTAAACTTTTAGACAGTGAAGAATAACCGTATATTATATTAAAAATCATACAATTTATACGTTAATAATAAACTTAAAGTTTTATTTAAATGTAATTTAAATGTGATTTAAATGTGATTACACCTTTATTATATTAAATATAACAGTTTATATGTGTAATCAAAAGTATATGCGAACTTCGACATCTGAGCTCGCGACAGATGCGCGGCTTGCAAAAAAAAAAAAGAGTATATCAACGCCATGAGTCGAGAATGTGTATATGTGTGTCGATTCAAAAAAACCATAATATATATTTAAAACAAAAATCCAAGCATACTTTAAATATATTTATATTTAAGCTTTTTATGGCCGCCATCTTAAATTTGCCATTTTGAATTTAAATTTTGATGGTAAATTTGAAAAATCAGCATCCCCAAAAACCTATAAAACTGTTAATATATAAAACGTATGTCTTTTGGAAAAGCCGGAGGTACGGAAGAGTTAAATAAAATCATTATAACACATTGACATTGCTTTTTAATTAACGACAATTTTGCAAGTAATTTTACAATTTCAGAAATAATTCCAAAACAAGTAATTGTATCAACTATTAAAGACTAGAATACAGAAAAAATCAAGAAAACAAATAATATAAAGCAACTCATTATATTTGCAGATGATCTGCTATCGCTTGAAAAAATAGTTTACAATTCGATGTTTTGACCTCCAATCATGATTTATATTAACGGTCGTCGTTTAAATAAGAATAAAAGCAAGATGGACAAAAGCAAACGTTACGAAAGAACAATGAGCATTTTCTCAAAAAAATTCTTATTTTATTATATTTACTCTTTAACTAATAAATAAAAATATACGTTTTGCCAAATAAATTTCATCCAATTTGTATTGAAACATTAATTGCATTTGCACAATCGACGCGTTTAATCCACGAAATCGGATACGAGAAAAAAATCAATTTTTATAATTTCGATATTTATCATGCTAATATACAATATAATAAAATATATACTGACCTCTGCAATTGCGCGTCAGTCGTTATAAAGAGCACCGTCACTACCGCAAAAAGGCGAAACATATTTCAAAATTTATTTACTACTGAAGTCTTGATTCGTGAAAATTTGACGAGTTTCTTTCGAAATTTATAACCGGATACACGGAAAAATAAAGTGTTGTCTCTTACTGACATTCTTCTTAACACTGTATCGGTATTCGATAGCGTTATACATATGATCGCGCGTGCCCTTGTGTTGAATGCTTGAACAGGTACAGAACGCGCGAAACATTCGAAAAATCCCGATAGATTTCATCGATAAATTTAATTTAAATATTTCATATTTTTCATAATCGTGTATTTTAAATTAAGAACGTTTATTTACATAAATTCATGATTAATAATAAGAAAACAATTCTTTCAAGAAAGAATACATTGTTTATATCGACCAGGCAGACAATCATTAACTTTACAATAATTTGCATTAAATAGTAGCATTTAATTAATCGACATTTTTTTATATAATTTTGTGCAAGAAAATATATTTATACAATATAAGTTTATACATTATAAGTCACTTTATTTGATAAATTATTGAAATTTCTAAAGAAAAAAGAAAATATACATAATCTTAAAATATGTATTTAAATATTCATTAGTTTCATAATTTTTGAGAAAAACAACTTGTGTTATATTAGGGATAATATTAATATGAATATTTTTACTCAAGATACTATACAAAATTTAAAAATCCATATATTTCTTATTTCTGCTATATATATATATATATATATATATATATATATATATATTTCTACATTTTTTTCATATATATAAATTTAACAAAAATACAACAATACGAAATTTTGTGAAAGAAGGAATAGATCTCTAATAAAGAATCGTATTTTTTAATTAAAAATGTCTGATTAATTTATCGAAATAAGATAATTTTCAATAATAAGAAACATTATTATGATGGAATTTCCATTACATTATAAGAATAAAGTTAAAATAAGATAACTTATAATAAAAAGAGAAAATGATTTTTGTAACATTACCATAAAATCGAAAACTTTTATTGCTCATCGCACTGCACGAATAACCTTTCCTTTAGAATTTATCGGTGTTTAATGAATGCAATCACATTTACATAGGTTTTAGATTTCCGAAAGTCGAAATGTGGTCACGAGGTAGATCGATTTTTTAAAAATCAATATTTATTATATCGATATGTATCGTGCACATACAATACAATGTATGAACTTAGCTTCGGATTTCCGCGTCAATCAACACCGCAGTCACTACGAGAAGCGGAATATATTTCTGAAATTTCTGGCAAATTTCTTTCTGTACGTTGTGACTGGACAAAATAAATTGTATTTTATTATTAGAGCTCTCGTTTATCTAAATTTGGCTACTGCTATACAATCATGCGTACATTCGAAACATATCCGTCCTATCGATCAATCAAATTTAAAAATATTTGATTTAATATTTTGTTTTATAATTAAAACAAATTGTATTAAAATAAATTATTAAATGTGTGCGTGATTAAGAATGATAACGAAGGAGCAATCAGCGTTGCGAAAGAATAGCTTGATTATGTCGACTAGACGGCCATGCATCAATGAACTTAGCAAAAATTCGCATTCTAATTAACAATAAGCTCATATCAGTTGCTTTTACGAAAGTATTGCTGTCGAAAATTAAGCCACAACAGGGTCGAATTTAAAAACCCTGGAGCAACGAAGATGTGGAGACCCCTAACCATTTTTAAACCAAAATCAAATAGAAATTTTTACATTGTTTAAATAATTTATTGTGAAATAACAAGGTCGAGCAATATACATAGATCTTGTAAGTTTTGTATACCATTCGATAGGAAATTTTATCCAAAATTTGTGTTGTGAAGACCCCTGGGCTTCAGCCCCTGTTGTCCCTCCCCTAAATCCGGTCCTAGTCAAATATAAATCATTCGTGACTCTTTATCTATTTTTCGATTATTTAAATGTAATTCAGATTGAGATCGTGCAGTAAAACGATCGAATCGTAAATATAAATATATATTTAATATAATGAAAGTGATCCTTCAATAAATAATCATATAATTAATCTATGTCATTTAAAATCTAAATTTTTATACTTTAAAATATTTCGCGTATACATTTGTCAAAATACGTATACATTTGTAAAATTACGAATACGTATACATTTGTAAAATTACGAATATTTCAAACAGACAATAACATAATGTTTGATCTTGACGGCGTATACAATAGCTCGCTAATATTTACATTCCGCGGTCTTGGTATCATTCATACGGCGACACTCGAGCAAGATAGTGGTGCGAAACGATATTTTTCGTATATTATCGAATTTATTATTAATTGAACGATTATCATGATTTTCAATTAGATTAATTTTTCGATTTTATAATTTCGCGTATATATTTGTCAAAATACGTAAAATATTTCGAACAGACAATAACACAATGTTTGGCCTTGACGACGTATACAATAGCGCGCTAATGTTTACATTCCGCGGTCTTGATATCATTCATACGGCGACACTCGAGCAAGATAGTGGTGCGAAACGATACTCTTCGTATATTACACAGGCCTGCAAAAAAGGGGGTCAAAATTTCTTTTTAAGATGCAATAATGACTTTTGACGTAATTTTGCGCTGATCCGAATCTGACCGCCGAATTTGCGTAGCACGTCAGGTTTTTGAGTTATTTGTAGTTGAATAGGCCAAAAATCACTATATTAGCCATTTTCATGAATTTATTGTGAGTAAACCAAATTTTTTGAAATATTTCTGTCAACGGCATCGTATAGTATTCACTTTCATCTTTCGAATCCACTTTCGATTACCGCCGCACGATTTTTCGCTCAGATATCAAGAGACACGGTAGTGTCTTGAAGTCGAGTCATCATCACTCAGGCGCAAGACACACCGTGTATCTTTACGCGAATGGCTAAGTTGCGAGTAATGCATATTATCGGTTCTCAATAACCGCTGAATCGATCAAATTCTTATTAGGTTCAATCAATTGCTTGGGTTCGATATAAGGAAAGTGTCTTTATTTTTGCTCTATATGCTCTATAAGCAGAAATATAACGATGCAAAGTCTCAATGTGAAACTTTTTGATTAAGAAACGTCACCGTCGTGGCTACATTTTTCACATATTTTTCTTATACGATTCGCACATTTGACGAAAGAGGCGCTGTGTTCTCGTGACGATGAGAGATGTATAATTTTTATATCATGCGAGAAATTACCGACTGTAATTGGAATGAATTGATCGGTACATAATATACTTTCCGATTCACGCATGATGCGCATAAAGTGACAGAAAATGTATAGTTCATGTCACGCATATTATTATACATTTTTTGTCACTTTATGCGCATCATGTGTGAATCGGAAAGTACCCATAGATGTCAATTATTTGAATCGACCATGCGTATCGAATGTAATACTTATCCAAATAATTGCTACCTATCGATTAATTTATTGCAATTGCAATCACCCAGGTAGCAAACACACGTCATTTTGACGTTTCAAATTGGTCATTCACTGACTATTCTTGACGTCACGAATTGACGTTTTTATGACGTAAAAGTGACGATCTAATGTCACAGATTCCTGACATCATGACATGTACCGCATTTTGATGTCTTTCCCTTAGCATAATAATATATTTAATGTTGTCGAATAAAGCACTCTCTAAAAGTAAATCAGTGTATTATCACTGAAAAACAGTAAATAATCACTGATTACAGTAATTATAAGTAGAGCGCTGTAAATCAGTGATATTTTATAGAAAGAATCAGTTAATAATTTTGACTATTTCAGTAATATCTCAGTAATATTTCTTTCGTTATTGCCAGTAATATTAAACTTTTCAATTCATCTCTCTATTTCATAAATATAATATAATAAATATAATATATAATAAATATAAATATAATATATAATAAATATAATATATAATAATATAATATATAATAAATATAAATATAAATAAATAAATATATAAATATAAATATATATATATATATATATATATATATATAAAAAGTCTGATCGCGAAAAAAAGTCATGTCATATAAAAAATTTTAAAAGATTTTCTTTATGGGATCGATGTACTAACTAATGAATTCATAATAAAATAATCGTCACTTCATGACTGAAAAATGACGTCAAAATAATGTTATAGCAAGACAATATAAAGTCATGTAACAATAATCAGTCATTTTGACAACATATGACCAAAAATGACTAGTTTGGAACGTCAAAATGACGTGTGCTTGCTACCTGGGCAGTAATCCCTCACATAAAAAAAATTGATACACGAAATAAAACTCATCCTATATGCAGTCTCCTACACTATCACACTATGTAGTAAACATTAATAACAGATTTCTAAAGTTTTTATTTAGAGACGATTTTTCTTCATTGAAAATGTCGAAGGTTTGTAACTAAACCTAAAATTAAAATTTTATTAAAGTGAACTTCACCTGGAATTAATTGAAGATTGTAGCTTTGTTAATATTTTAACTTTATAAAGTTTGCAAAAAGTATATTAAGTAGAAAAGATCGTCATATTTTAATGAAATGACGGGGCTAGTGGCAGATTCTTTGCTTATTTATTTAGATATTTAACATATTCTCAAAAATTACTTTTTTAAAAAGTATAAAAAAGTTAATCATGTGTAAGTATTAAATTGTAAAAAATTTTATGTTATTGTGAAAACTGTTTTATGCACAAGACAAAGTATTATTTAAACTACAAAAATGTACATTAAACAAAGTTAATGTGCAAAATAGTTATTTCTTAATTGTCTACAAAAATTAGTGATATCCTAAAAAAAAATTACCTTTTCAAAAAAAGGTAAAAAAAAGAAGTCAAGTCATCTCAGTAGTAAAACATTATTGTATAGAATTATTTTACAAAAAATTATTTTAATAAAAAATTGTTGTATTAAAAAAAATTGTGTAAAATAGTTGTCATAACTATCTACAAAAATTAATGATATATTTAAATAGAAAATTACGTCGAGAATAAAAAAGTTCGATTTTATTTTATGTTTATCAACAGTGTGTGTGCGTGTCTGTCTGTCTGTCTGTGTGCGTGCGTGCGTGCGTGCGTGCGTGCGTGCGTGCGCGCGCGCGCGCGCGCGCGTGTGTGTGTGTGTGTGTGTGTTAGATGTG